ATTTTTTTTTTCAATACTTTTTTAAACATAATGAAACGGATAGCTTTAATATCCTTTATTCTTGATAGAGTATAAAGTCGATAATAATAAAGAAGCAAGAAATAGAAAAATTAAGAAATCCAAATAGTTGCATTTATTTATTTATTTAAATATTTTAAATTTCCATTTAAAAGCTTGAAAAATTTTTAATGAGATTATATAGAAAATCAAGGAAATTAAAAAAAAAATAAATTTTATTTAAAAAATAGAATAAACTTTTTTGAAAATTTGAGCAGATATCAATAATATCTTCATAAATTGTGTAATTCAGCGTAGAAATTTATTACAGTCTGCCCATGATTCATCAAAAGCGGAATTACAAAAAGCACCACGGTCAAAGGAATCCTTTGAAAAAGTTTCGTTCATCACAGCGGCACTTACACACCTTGGTTTTTATATTCTCATGTTCCTGGGATTTATTAATCAACTATTCTTTATTCCGAAGATTGCCACTGAAAAAAATAGAGAAGTACGGCGATCATTTATATTTTATTAAATATTAATGAAGTTGCAGTATGAAAAGTAAAGAAAAATGAATTTAAAATAAGAATATTAAATTTTAAACTATATATTCAATAATGGTAACATATCAAAAATTCCTATAAATATCGAAAGTGAGTAAATAAAAGTGTTACATACAATTAATATATAGAAAACTTACACGATAATTAAAAATATTCAATTACATTCTATTTATTCTATATATTCTATATTCTATCAGAAAATAATTTTTGTTATGTGAAATTAGTTATTTTTGTTGTATATTAAATTTAACAATCTTTTTTACATATATATATGTGTAAAAAAATTTTTTTTCTTATATATTTATCGATTTTATATGAACAATTACTTATTTTTCGCATAATATTTAAATATCTTTTTATAGTGAACATGTGTTTTTAGGGATATGCTCCACTCTATGATAATTTCGAGAAGTTTTATCTCAAATATGTCTATAGAAGAGTCAGAGATTGTTGGAATAGACCGATTTGTTCTGTTCCTGGTGCAAGAGTCACATTAAAAGATCGAGTAACTCACGATTATGGATGGACATTTCAGTATGTTTGACTACGTACGAAAGTCACGATTGCCACATATCAATAGAATTGAAATCCCTATTTTTTTTAATTTTGACAGATTTACTGGAACTAAAACGCAATGTATAAATTTGGGCTCTTACAATTATTTAGGGTTCGCTGAAGCGAGTGGTAAGTGCGCCGACGAGAGCATCAAAACGCTTCGGAAGTTTGGTTGTGCCAGTTGCAGTACGCGTCTTGAATTAGGTAAATAACTTGAGGAAACATTATTATTTATAAGAATTATTACTTAGGTATTATTATTTAATTTCTCTTAGCAAATAACGGAACCATAATAGAATATTTAAAAATGTCGATCGAGGTTGTTGCATAATTGCATCATAAATTCTATTTCTAAGAAAAATAGATTAATTACAGAGATTTCAATCAAAATCGAATCGAATCTTATGTGATTTGATTCAATTTTATTCGTATATTTTATACATTTCTAGTGATAATCATATGAAATAGCAAAATAATTCGAGAATACGCACCAAGTGCCTCCAAGTATCAATTTATCCTTGTTTGAATAACGAGTAAAAATATTTAAAGGCAGTCGGTGTGTATTCTCTTAATACAGTATTCGTTAAAAAAATTTATTTTTAATGTGTTATATGTGATTTTATTAGTCTTTGAAAGTGATCTTACTAGTTTATGAACTAATTTGTAGATAAACTTTTATATCAAATTGAAAGTTTCGAATTTGACTGTAAAAAATTTGATTTTTGATTTAATAATATTAGTCTGCCATGGTTTATTAAAAAAAAATTATATTTATTTTTTTAAATCAGATTCATATGTAATCAAAAGAAATTGAATCTTCTTGCACTAAGGTAATATGCCGATACATGATGAACTCGAAAAATTGACTGCAAAATTTTTGGGCGTAGAAGATGCCATAGTATTTGGAATGGGATTTGCCACAAATTCTTTAAACTTACCTTCTTTAGTCAGTAAAGGCTGTTTAGTTCTTAGCGATGAGAAGAATCATGCATCACTCATTCTTGGACTGCGACTATCTGGTGCAGTAATACAGATCTTCAGGCATAATAGTGTGTATATTACGCAATATTCACTTACAACGCAATCTTTTTTTGAAAGTACAACAAAGTCGTTGTTCATTACAGATGTAAAACACTTGGAGGAATGTTTGAAGAAAGCTATTGTTTTCGGGCAGCCGAAGACTGGCAAGCCTTGGAAGAAGATAGTTATCATTGTCGAGGGTGTTTACTCTATGGAGGGTTCAATTGTCCATTTACCTGAGATATTAGAGCTAAAAAAGAAATATAAAGTTCGTAACAGTAACTTTAATTACATTAATCTAAATCGAAACCTTGAGATCATTGTCTGAACTTAATAAAGTAATTTAACATGCATACAGTTGCACTGATTTAGAAGATCAAATCTATTTATTGCTCATATAATGATTTTTTTTTAAATAAAATCGCAGAATATTTTATATGTTTTATATAATATTTTACACAATATTTTAATTGTTCTTGCTTAACATAAATCTTTTAAAACATAAACTCTTATTAGTTTTATCTACGATGTTACACTCTTAATCCTACATCGCGTAGTACCTCCAAATTCAAAATAAAAGTTTTGCAGTGCGAATGACATTCCAAGTTATACATTAGTAGGAGATATTTTTTTATATAATAGATGCTTTTCTCGAAATATTGAACACATTGTTGCGCCCTTAAAATATTGTTTCCCCATATATAAATATTGCGTCTTGCGTGAAGATTGAGAAGAAAAAAGAGATGGATCGATCTGAAGCGCTGGTTATAGTTCGAAAGAGAAACTAACAGATTTTACCCGTATTGAATAAAGTTCCTTTTTAGTAAAAAAAAAAACAATGTTGTCATTATTTCGCGTGCAAAACCGTCGCGGTGGCGTTTACATGTATAGGAGTACGATAGTTCGCAGTAGACGTAACAGCAGATATAAAATAAATGTATATACATGTAAGGTGAACTTTTAGACAAAGCTTTTCGTATATATCTTGTGTACACCTCATATAACCAGTATTCAAACAAATGACAATTTGACAACAACAGAGTTATTCATATGTCTTTAATTGACAGTAAAATATTCATAGACGTATGAAATAGACTCAGCTATATATATAATCTCAAGCATACTGATGAAGCCTCAAAGGAGCGTCCTATAACTTTTGTTTTATTAATTTAAGATTTAATAACATACAAAATTAACAATGATTGTGTATAATGCATTAACAATTTTGTTAATAATATTTTTTATTATTATTTTAATCGTTTTATTTTGAAGAAATTTGAAGAATTTAAACTATCTATTGACTAAGAAATAGCATAAGAATCTTCTTAACATGATATATACTAATTGTCTTAATAACATTAAAATGTCCGATGCAATGAATTTATTATCATGAATTTTATATCATCAATTGCTTTCCTTTTTTATTACGAGTAATAAACATTTTATCGGACAGGCCTATCTGTATGTGGACGAAGCGCACAGCACAGGAGCCATGGGAAAACACGGAAGAGGAGTTTGCGATTATTACGGTATTGACCCGCGCGAAGTAGATATACTCATGGGAACATTTACGAAAAGCTTTGGTTCAGCAGGCGGATATATAGCCGGAACAAAAGTACTATTTTAATATTCATCAGCTTCATTATATTAAATATCTGTATATCTTCAATCAGATATATGTTTTAGGCACTGATAAATCACATAAGAATATACGGTCACGCGCATACGTACGCAGTATCAATGTCTCCGCCCGTTACGCAACAAATCATCACTTCGATGCGAATTATAGCGGGGGAGGACGGTACCGACGCTGGTGAAAAACGTATCAAACAGTTAGCTAGGAATACGAGATACTTTAGACGTAGATTGAATCAGATTGGAGTTATAATTTATGGAAACGAGGATTCGCCTGTTGTGCCTATGCTAGTTTATTTATTTTCTAAGATTGGGTAAGTGAGTTAAAATATTATTTTCAAAATCTGAATTTGTTCCATTTCATATGATTTCCTTTCTCTGCAATGTTCAACACAGTACAGTGATCCGTACTCTGACGAGCCATAACATTGCAACTGTTGGTGTTGGATTTCCAGCGACGCCGTTAATGGAAGGTAGAATTAGATTTTGCCTTTCTGCTGCGCACACAAAGGAACAGTTAGATTATGTAAGTAACATTAATCAGGGTTGGGAAGTAATGCGTTATTTATAACGTCATTATCATCATGTCATTACTTTTTTTAGTAACAATCGTTATTTTTTTCTGTCTGTAATAGTAACATTGTTATATTTTTATAGTAACAGCAACAAAATCATTCTTTTTTATCCTTACTTTGATTGCATGTTATTTTTACATCTATTCAATAAATTGCATTATTTCTGATGCGTGCGTGCGTGCGTGC